AAATTATAAATTTTATACTTTTATAAAATACTTTTAACGAAGAACATTTTTATAGTATAAAAAATTTCCAATAAACATATACGGAGTATAATTGATAAATGTTTTTGAATTTGGCTAAGTATTTGGGGCAGAGGTAGTACTTACCATATCCGTAGTAAAAAAGTGGCATGACTCTCGAAAGGATAAGTGTAACGTAACACTTGTTGAGAAAAATCAATAAAGAATATCACACATGGTGAGAAATTTTACTCGCAATAAAAACATAAAAATGTAAGCATCCTCCCAAATGTTCTGTCGGGTTGGAACATGAGGGCCTCTTAGGGTTGAGGATTCAACATTTTGGATAATAAAAATGTAAGTATATCTTTAATTATATGGTCTTTAGTTACAAAATAGTTTTAAATAGGTCTAGCTAGATAAAAACATATTCCCTCCGTCCCGGAATTATCTTCATACTTTCCTTTTCGATCCGTCCCAAATTTATCTCATCTTTCCTTTTTTTGCAAAGAATTTGTGGTTTACAACCATTCTTACACGTTTCTCTTTCCTCTGCATAATTTTCCACCACACATTTATCACTATCTTAAAACATGTGCCCAGTCAAATAAGGAGATAAATATGGGACGGAAGTAGTAACTAAAAAGAGTAAACATGATCATAGTAGGCTTTGATTATAGTAAAATAAACATAATACAGATCTTATATTACTACATCAAATCAGACCCGAACAATCCATTTAAGAGTATAATTGACTTAAATAGACACTACGAGACCAATTTAAATCAGGCACTTCAATCGGTGTTATGTTTGTTAGAGCATCTCCAATGTTATAATGTGCACGATGCACATGTGACATGAGAAATAACCACACAAATATTAGCAAATAAATTATCTTTCTCCTTACTTGAATGATTTTATATGATTTTGGTAAATTTTTCTCTATCATGTCAACAAGACCGTCTAGATATTGACATTGTGGTTGACAACTTGACATTGCAGAGAAAACTTATCAAAATCGTAAAAAATCATTCAAATAATGAGAGAGATAAATTATTTGCTAATATTTATGTGGCTATATCTCATGTCACATGTGCACCGTGCACATTGTAACATCGGAGTGTTCTTATTTGTCTGCTACAATTCAAGTAACAGGTATTTTTACAAATGGTTGTATAGTCTACCTATCCTTTTATATTTCATATACGGAGTAATTAATTTGTCAACGATAGCCGAGCATATTAAAAAAGCATAATAGTGTACAAGCCCACGCCCATGTACTCTATTTGTATATTTTGTACAATTACGCAAATATATACATTTATTTTAGGTAAGTCTAATCATTATTTCTGATAATGCCGCACTATTTTTAAATCGAGTAATTTAACTTCTTCAGCCTAGACTCTAGATATTATAATAGGCAAAAGAGTAGTCTAGGTTTGGGCTCGAACCTTTTTGTAAAAAGTAAGGTGAAAATTTAAACGAGGGACATTTCTGACCATAACTGAAATAATAATACTATTCCCTCCGTCTTTTAAAATTTATCCTACTTTGACTTTTTGAGTCAAACTAGATAGACGTTTGACCGTAATTATATATTTATATATATTAATAAAATATATAATAATTTGACATTTGAATAATACATATTACAAAGAATCATATAAATTAATTTTTTAAGGATAAAATATTATTAATTTTGAGTAATTAACGGTCAAAGTTTAATAAGTTTGACTCAAAAAGTCAAACTAGGACAAACAGGAGGAATTTAGTAGCAAATCCTGTGGTAGAACGAGTTGACATTGCTTATACAAAGTTAGCAACATTAATGTTTGCTTATATAAACCACCGTCCTTGAGGGATTTCAAAGAGTAAAAAAGAGTTTCCAATGATAAAAAGTACTCGTAAGTATTATAACTTTTATTTGAAAAGAGAACAATGTAGACGTGAGTTCCTCATTTATTCTCCCTAATCAAGTGAAAACGCTCAACAACGAACTTTACCTATGCGCTATGGGAAACTTTACCCCTCTCTCAAGAGTAGATGCTTGTTGTCTCTTCATCTCTTTTCTTCTTTTATTTTTTTCTTTTTTCATAAACCTAAAAAATATTTGTAGCCTTACAACTAATTATGTAGGTCTTTTTCCTGACGATATTGAGAGGTTTTATCGGTGTGTTTGAAACGGATTGTGCTTCTTCTTCTTTTATAAAAAAGAAGTAGAATCAGAATCAGTTTTTCAGATACCGATCTCTCCCAACTTCTAAAAAACTGCTTTTAGGGGTAATTTAGAACACCAATAATTATTTGTGTACTTTCACCAAACACTCCAATATTTGTCGTTTCTGCTCCCTGGAACAGCAAAAACAGTTTTAAGGATCAGATCCAAATGCCCCCTATATTCGGTCTGAACTCACCGACTGCTAATTGTTTATTTAATTCTTGTCATCTCCGATCAGGTGCTCTTCTCCGCTACAAGTAATTTTATATTGAGTTCTTCATCAATTATGAATTTGATTTTCTTTTGCATCAATATTGTGGCAGCTTGCCTCTTCTTGAACTGTTGGATCACCGTCATGCTAGGAAGATTGGAAGACATATTGTTTTCTTTCCGATGGCTAATGAAAATAGGGCAGTTTTAGACATAGCTCCTTACCGGTGATTAGGAAAACTGAAAAGATTCACATTTCCTTATCGCAAGATGATGAAGCGGAAATGTGTTTATTCTTCCCTTACAAATGCCTGGTAAAATCAATTCTTTTGATAATTATTTTTGACATTCCAGAAACAAGCAATCTGCTACATAATTGCGGGATTAATGACCCTTCATCCCTTAAAACTCTGTCAAGTTTGATCGACACAGAGAATAATAAAGTAAAAACTGCGTGCTTGAAATTTTTGCAGATGAAAGATGAATATATGAACTACAGATTAATTGATTAAAAGGGAAAGTCACAAATTTTTTGTGACATCCCAAAAAAGAAAGATGTCAAAGGTTTAAAGGATGAAAGGAGTATCAATTTCAGGAGATTCAACCAACATCACCGTTACCAAATGGACTTTAAATCTAATGGATGGATATGATTTGTTTAGTAATATTTAGGAAAGATATTTTGCCATTTTTAAGTTTAGATAATTCAGCTAGGAAAATTAGGTGTTTGATAAAAAAGTTGACTGATAAAATTAATTCGAATAAAGAAGTTACCAAGTAAACTCTAAAGAATAAAATGATTTAGTTACTAATAAGGATTTTCTTAAATTATTTTGAAAGAGATAAAGTCCGTTTTGTTTGATTATTTGAATTTAACATTTCCACCTCAACATTTTTTAGAAAATCCTTTTGCACACGCGGAAAGGTTTACACGCCAATGTCGCGTCCCGTTTAGTTTGTGAACTGACATTTTTCATCATCTTTAAGATAAATTGTTTGTGCAAAAATATTTTAGTCTCATATACAAAGTTTTCACATTAAAAATGATAAAAAAGATTATGCACGGATAAGACGGGGGTGTATATTGATGTGTATGGGTATGACATGTACAAGTAGCCTTATAGGAAAATGGTGTATAAGGGAGAAATCTCATATTTAACTCTAACCAATGATTTGAAATGTGGTGCCTTTTTATGACTATGTCATATTCTAGACGATAACATTTTACCATGTATTAAGTAGAAGCTCAAACACATATTTATGAAATGAACAATTTTACTTGTACTCGCCCCTTATATAAACCCTTATACCCCCTTAATTCTATTCATAGATAAAACAAACATGTTTTTGTCAATGAACATGTCTATTTTGTTTGTGAACATGTCTATTTTATCTATGAACGGGATTGGCAAAGACAAATAGCCACTCACAACAACAAAAACCTCTAACAAGAATGAGTATAAAAGTTAATATAAAATGTGTGTACAATAGCAATTTTTTTAGGAAAACTCCTTTTGTGCACACAAGTTTTTACACGCCGGGTAACACGTCGGTCAAATTGATCGGCTATACATACAATTTGACCGGCGTTTTATGAAGAAAATCGGTTTTCACACAGACAGAAAATAAAATTCTGTTTAAAATTGTATGTATCACAAACATTTTATGAAAAATTCTGTCTAAAATGTCTGTGATACAGACAACATTTTAATTTTTTGTGTCAAAATCGATTTTATTCATAAAATGTCGCTCAAATTGTCTGTATAGCCGGTCAAATTGTATATTTATTTTTTTACTCGAGGGGGTCTGAGGGAGGGGGTCTGGGGTAATCGGGGTTGAAATTCATTTCATTGAGTTTCAAACCTTTGTGTGCCTAACGAGTTTCGAACTTGACACCTCCCACTAGGCATGATATCCTCACTTTGTACATACACAAATAATTTAACGGACATGTAACCCGGCGTGTACAGACTCAAATAAAAAGGATGACACCCCATCCCTAATGGCCCCCCAACTCCGACCGGACGGTACTTTGAGAGGATGTAAATTGGACTATAATCCCAATTTTGACAGATAGAGAGAGACACTCTTTCCCCGGTACTTGTAGAGCCCCTATACATTTTTAGCATAATAACCCCTCATCGCAGTTGTCGGGATTCGAACCAGGGATCTAACCCTTGTGGCATTCCCTTGCTACTAGTTGAGCTACGCCCACCGGTTACTCAAAATTTTACTCCCTCCGTTCCTAAATAAACTTCCAACTTTCCTTTTTCGTTCGTTCCAATTAAAACTTCCACGTTCCTTTTTTGGTAAAAAATTTGTGGTTCACAACATTTCTTACACATTTCTCTCTCTTCTACACAACTCTCCACCACACAATATCCACTATTTTAAACTTTGTGACAAATCAATATGGAAGTTAAAATGGGAACAGAGGTAGTGTCAAATTCATAGGTTGGGTTAGAGAATTGGGCCATATCATGATGTCAACGTGGCATGCTGGCACTAGTACCTGCTAGGACCAGCCTGCGCCCCCCATCCATGGTATAAAGATCATCAAACCCTAACATCTCATCATCAAACATCACACAAACCATTAAACTCAAACCAAACAAATCCTCCCACCCCCTCTCTCTCTATTCAGGCGTGCGGTTATTGAGTTGCTACTCAACAATAATGGCTGTTAGAGGAATCCGAATGACTATACCATAATGCTTCTTGTCTCCATTGTTCCCTTCCCTACTCATCACCCCCATCTCTCTCTTCTATTCCCTCCTCTGTAATTTTGTCTCTTCTCCATCATTCCGCCTCCTTTTACCTCCTCTTTTTTGCAGCTTTTGACCCTCCATTACTCGACACCCCCACTCAATTACCCCTATATAGACCGGACTCTCAGAGACGACATGGATGGCTATGCTGGGTTGATTCATAGGAGGGATACAGAGCTGTCCAACTCCAATCCTTCTTTCTCTTCCACCCTTCTTGACTCTATTTATCGCTCCATTGACGGGGAAGTAGAGGATCCTCAGGAGCTTGAGATTTTCAGAGATACCATGAGGAAGACACAGAGCAGCAACTCCTCTGTTTTGAAGGGCTCGGGTTGTAGAAATGGTCGATTTCCCGGTGCCGAGGCAGAGCGCCGGCGGATCGACAGGTGGACGGAGGAGCATGTGTTTGCTCGTCGGAACTCTGAGGCGGAGGTGGACAGGAAGTTGGGGTTGTGGAATTCCAGCTCCAGCGGCTCTTCTGACTCAAGCTCCGGCGTATTCTCCTCGTCGGAGCTCGATTCCGTTTGTAATGTTCCATCCGGTGGGACGTCGTGTTACGGACTGAATCGGTCAAAGCCCAAACCGATCCGAACCGGGAAAGAGCGCTCTTCCTCTTCCTCTTCAGCTTGCCACGATCATCAAGCGAAGACCAAGAAGTCAAGAGCTCCCAAGATTTACGGCGATCTGAAAAAAGCGAAGCAGCCGCTTTCCCCCGGCGGCAGGTTAGCCAGTTTCTTGAACTCCCTTTTCACGGCGAAGAAGGCGAAAGTATCCTCCGCCGGCTCCGACGAGGACAGGAAAGCGAAATCGACTAACGCCTCCACGTGCTCGTCCGCCTCGTCCTTTTCAAGGTCATGCTTAAGCAAGAGCACCACCACACCTTCCTCCGCCGCAAGAACCGCGGAGAAGCGGTCGGTAAGATTTTTCCCGGTGAGCGTGATCGTCGACGCCGACAACCGCCCCTGTGGGCACAAGAATCTTGACCTCCCGTCGAAAGAAGAGAAGAGCCGGCGCGTGGAGGTGACGGCGAGGGACTTGCTGAGGAATTACCAGAAGAAAGTGGAAAGAGAATTCGGCTTGAAGAGGATCAGCGGAGCTGGAAACAACGTCGAAAAAAACCTTAAAGTCTTCGAAGACGACGGCGACGACGGCGACAGTTACGCAAGCTCCGATCTTTTTGAATTGGACAATCTCTCTGCCATCGGAATGGAGATGTACGGCCGAGAATTGCCGGTGTATGAAACCACCAATCTCGGCACCAATCGAGCCATTGCAAAGGGGTTAATTTTGTAATAATAAAATAAATGAATCCCAAAACAATGTATTTGGATTAGTTTTAATTAATTAATTAGTTAATGTTTTATTGATTTGGGGGTTTAGTTAAGTGCATAAATTGAAGAGAAATTAATCAATAAAATTTCTCTTATGGTATATTACAATGTTTTCGCGGATATATAGAGTGAAAATAAATGGGTAACATTGGATTTATTATAACTCACTTGATTCTACCGTCAGACTTCTGAATACAAACATTTCAGAAATTAAGGAATAAGATCCTTTTTACCTATCGAATGCAATGATTGAGATAACTACTTCATGAGAAATTACCGCTACTGTCAAATAAATACTACCTTCGTCTCTTATAACTTTGCCAAAGTTGACCGGCACAGACAATAATAAAGTAAAAATTGTGTGGTTGAGGTTTGTGCAGATGAGAGAGAAATAACAAAGACCACAAAATAATTGATTAAAAAGGAAAGTGATAAAGTTTTTTGGGACGTCCTAAAAGTAAAGATGACAAAGTTTTAAGGGACGGAGGGAGTATTACTGATTGCTTTTTATTTACAATGAATTGAGGAGTTTTTTATGTCTTCTGATCGCAGAATCGTTGATAGTTTCTGAATGAAGAAATTTCACCTATGATCTTTCGAGTTTTGCACCAATACCACAACTAGTTATCGTCTTTCATTTTATCCATTTTTGATACCTCACTATTGTCAGGTATCAAAAATGAATAAAGTGAAAGACGAGGATTAAATATGGAAATGACACAAAACTCAGAGGATCTAAAGTGGAATTAATTCATTTCGGAATTATGGGCTGTTTTCTCCTTTATTTTTTTTTTGAAATTGAAGTGCATGTGTGAGATATCATTATATGAGTGTTATGGATCGATGAGACTGGCGGGATGGGATAGATCTGGCTGCTGCTTCTTTGATCATTTACACTTTAAGCACAGAAAGAGACTGGGTTTGTTTTTTCTTTCCGATCCATGGCTTTTTCTTGGGTCGGTGGGGGTCCATTTTTGCTTCAAGATGGCGCCAGCATCCCAGTAAATAAATTTCACATTATTCCTCTTTAGTCAAAAAGTTGGTTCTTGTTCACGCATTAATGAAATTTCCATGGACACAACCGTCATCTCACCCCATTGGCAAGTTTTTAGCAAGTTTTCAGTAATTTTTTTTAATCTAAAACTAGACTGGATGATCTTGATCTGGTTTGAGTAAGAACAGACTTCTAACAAAGCGTACTAGTCTGATCTGAATGGAGTTGCATGTTTTTTTTACCAATTGAACCAATCTAAAATTGATACTTTCAAGTGAAAACATCCTTCCATGAAAATCAGTTTGTAGATCTAATCTATGAAGAAGTGTAGATCATTCTTAGTTTAATTTTGATTTCAATTGTTTCTTTTACATTAAGAAAAAGACTCTAAGTTTTGTAATGCCTAATACAACTATCCAAAACCTCAAAACCCAACTTTAAGTAATGATAGTCTGTACCCGCACGGGTAGCTCAGTTGGTCGAGTGGTGGGAAAATTGGACCAAGTGACCAAGGTTCGAAACCCGCAACGGCCGTGTGGAGGTTACATAACCTGAAATAAGGCTGGACCTCTGGTGCGCACGTGTATAAGACCTACTGTCACTTTGCTGACTGAGTCACCGTGATTAACTTTCTCAGTTCCCACCATCCTGTCGGGTCGGGGTGGAGTCTCCTGGGGTGGGAGATTCTATCTTTTGGACCAAGTAATGATAGTCTGTGACATTTGAATTGATTGAATTTGTTGAAATTGACGAAGAGCCCATTTAGTAACTTCCATTTTTAGCTAATTATCAGTTTTATTGCAAAATTTTACTACCTCCGTCCCAGTGGACTTTGCCAAGTGCAAAGTAGGTGAGAAATAAAAATAATAGTAAAAATTGCGTGGTTGAGATTTGTGGAGAGGAAAGGGAAATGTGCAGAACCACAAATTAGTTGCTTTAATAGAAAAGTGACAAACTTTTTTGGTACAACCAAAAAGGAAAAGTTGGCAAAGTTCAATGAGACGGGGGGATTATTTTACCAAACACGTATTTTTTACTTCGTACCAAATTGTGTGATAATAAAAATAAGGGAAGTTGAAGTTATTTTTCAAGTTGAATTGACTGAAGTTACTCTCTATGATAATTTCAGCTCTTCAGCACTTCAGCAGATTCAACCTTTGAATAAGCTGAAAATAAAGATTACCATACAAGTCTTGAATAAATAGATTTCTTAAAAGGTTATATTGGTTGAACAAGATGAAGTTTAAGAGCCCGTTAAGTAGCACGAAAATCGGCGGATTTGGCTGGTTCTGCTCAAATTTATGAAGTTCAGGCTGAAATGGTTGTATTGGTTGATTCTGCTGATTTAAGATTTTTTATTTAAAATATACTCCGTATGTTATTAATAAAATAAATAAAAATATATATGTAAAAATAACTAAAATGATCATCTATAGTAACCCCAGCCAATACAGTCAGAAAAGTAACTCTAATCTTACTTTTTCTGTTTATTACATTATTCAGCGCGCGAAAGCAAAAGTTACGTGTTTGGTGGAAAAGTTGGTTGATAAGCCTGATAAGGCGAAAAACAATATTGCCAAACGGCGCGTAAGACTATTATTTGAATTGAAGCTAGACAAAAGTTGTTAAAACATAAACGTGAGATTATGAAGTAGACTCATTTGGCGATGCATATGATACAAGTCGTATAACGACTTTGGAATGTAACGTTAAAGTACCATGAAAGCATATCTTAATTAAAATTTGATATACCTTTAAATAGCAGGAGATTTTTTTTTTAAAATAGCAGGAGATTAAATTTTATACGTAGTATAAGTTAGATTAAAACGTTAAATTGAAACGTCAATAATAATACTCCGTAACATTTTAAGTATTTGTTTGGTAGCCATGATTTTTGAGTTTTCAGGCTTAAGACAACTTTTTCACGTAACTTTTGATTTTATTGCTGAATTGTGTAATAATAAGAAAAAGTAATGGTGAATTTACTTTTTTTGGTTGTATTGGCTGAAGTTACTGTAGAAGATCATTTTAACTATTTTTTCATATACTTTTTCTTTATTTTATTAATAAAATGCATTTTAAATTATTATTTTTCACAAATCATCAGAATCAGCCAATACAACCAATGAGCAAGAACTTCATAAATTCCAATAGAATCAGACAATACAATTGATTTGACTATTACCAAATGGGCTCTAAATTTACTGGTTGATTTTTATTAAGTCAAGTTTAATTCTTCATCTAAATAAAACTACAAGTGAAGTAATTGTCCAATTAATTCAAAGGTTAAAACGAGCGGAGATGGTTGAACAAAATATAACCCAAAACTCTTCATGAGTAACTTTGTAAGACTAAGACTTCATTTAGTATTTCACAATTGAAATCTAAAGAGTAACACTAAAGGACTAACCCATACAAATTTTCCCATAATAACACTAAAGCTAGAGTTACTTAAATTAGTATGAAAGAATGACATGAATATCACTTATGAACTTTCAATTGACAAAAATATGACTAGAATAGATATGGACAAAAAAGTGATACTTTATCACACCCGATCTCCTGCGCTACTTCTCTCACGCACGCAACTCCTTCGCCCAAGCCACAACCCACAGCAGATCTCCATCGCAGCAGAGAGCCTCCGTCAACGCGCCTATGCCAACGCACCTCCATCTCCAATCCTGCAGTCCCACTCCATGCTCTCTCTCTTTCGCGAGAACTTCTTCCTCCTCCCATCGTCGGCTCCCTGTCGTCACCGACCACACCGAACTTCTTTCTATTGTCTTTCTATTTGATTTAGGGAGGTTACAGACGACCCGAAATGCTAGAGCTCCATTTATGTCGGCTAGGGTTTAATTGTGGCGCCTACATTCCAGATCTAATCTGGACAACTGGGATTTCAAGCTAAGGTTGGGTGGTGGTGGGCTAGTTGATCGATGGTGGGCGATGGGGTGCGGTTATTGCGGCAGCGAGTTAGGATGGGGTGCTGGTAGTGGTGGCGGAGGGCTAGGCTGGGTGAGGCAGGGCATGGGGTAAGGCTGGGGGTCGGGCAAGGGGATGTGGTTAGGCAGGGCAAGGGGTTAGGCAGGGGGCTGGGGTCATGCAGGGGGCTGAGGTGAGTCTGGGGACTGGGATATATCCGGGTTGGGGAGGGGTGGGATCTGGGGTTGGGTTGGTCGGAGCTGGAGTTGGGGAGGGGGGAGGGTGGCTGGGGGAAGGTCAGGAGACTGGGATGGGGCTTGAGCTAGGGAGGGATTGGGGGCTAGGGACTGGGTGGGTTAGGGACTGTCGACGGCGACGGCAAGCCCGGTTGGCCAGATGGCGGCGGCCGGAATGTTGTGGCAGCGACCGGAGTTGGTGCTATGGTGGCGGTAGGTGGTGGTATAGTGTCTGTGTGTGGTGGGAGCGTGAATGGGGGTTGATGGTGGAGTCATGGAGTGTGGTCACTGAAGGGCAGCAATGGTGAAGGCGGCGACGGTGCTGTCGAGGAAGCGGCCGGATTTGATTAAATTTTACTTTTCCATCGATCAGAGTGACCGACAACGGATACGGTGGTCGGGCAGTCACTGTGGCCGGCGGAGTCACCGTGACGGCGAAGTCACTTTTGATAGTGACTGGCGGCGGCAGCAGTGGTGCCGGGGGCGGCGGTGGTGCCGGTGACGGCGCGGCGGCCATGGAAGTGCTGGTGGCTGCAAAATATGGACTAGTAATCACTTTTATTTATTAAAGTAATAAATGTATGGTAAAATACAAGTAATAAATGACTTTTAGTCACTTTTTGGGAAAATTCAAAAAAAGAGGTCACATTTTTGTCTTTTTGATTCATTTTAGTAATATTGAAATAAAACGACCAAAATTAGGCAATTCAATGTGTAAAATTAAAAATGATGTATTTTATAAAAGAAATTTTAACGAAAAAAATTGGGATAAATTGAAAATAGAAATTAATAATTGGGCTTATCTAGTATAACAGACAATTCAGTGTGCAATCTCCACTGCCGCTTGGTATTTGCATCTTAGAACTCAATGTTCTGTGACAAAGGCTGTAAACTCTAGTTAAGAAGAAAAATTGTGTGAAAATTTTACAATGTAAATATTAATTATTTTAAATATAAGTAGACTTGTACAAAAATATGGACTCACACAGCCCGTCCGCTTAATTAGGCGGATTTGGGCATATATACTCCGTATTTACCTACCAATATAGCCCAGAATTGCATATGAGCGGGCTTGTG